ACCTTTGATATTACTTGATTTATTAGAAAATTTATCTATGATTGAAACTATAGAAAACAAAGATGAAATAATTAAAAATTCGATTAATTTTATTTGGAAGGCAACAAGTGGAAAAGCTGTAGCAGTAATCTTTAATGATGATTTCTTACTTTCAGCTACCTTTACTCTTAGCGACAGAATGTCTAATACAATAAACTTGGATGCACCAAGTTGTGTAATTATTAATAAAGAAAATTTTATTAAGATAGTAAATCTTGCCAAAGTAAATAAAAAAGATCAAATGATAATTAATGATGAAAACTATGAAGTAAAAAATATAATTACATTATTCTTAAGTTGTCCTAGAAAGATGCTAATATAATAAAAAATCTATAGGCTATTCAAGCTGAAGATATTAATCTTGTTAGACAACCTAGTGTTTTATCATTAGAAATAGATTTTGTAAATATGAACATTCAAGAAAGTAATATGGAATCGAGTTTTGACATAGATAACATGGACAATTCAAGTGAATTCAATAAGAAGGGTGAGATCATTCAAAAAAGTAAAACACAAAATTTAAATTCAAATAATCAGGTAATAGTAAGATTATTAAACTTTTATTATCTCGATTAAAATTTGGAAATATAAACTAATAATTAACAAATTTATAAAGGAACCAATCAGCTCAGAATCAGATGAATATGATGACACAGATGAGGAAACAGGTGAAAAGTTATTTGATGCTTTAGCTTCATCAATTGGAAAAAGTAAAGAAATCAGTTCTGCAAAGAGTAGCATCTACAGAAAAATAAATAAGGTGTTCAAAGTAGCCAAAAATAATTATGATAAAAATAATAATGTGAGTAAATAATAATATATTTCTGTTGTTAACCAACTAATAAAATAATGATAGTCTAACATTAAGATATAATGTTAACTAAAGCGTGATAGTATAAAACACATCCCTTCAACATTGACAGATGATAGTCCACTACCAAGTGAAAAAGAAGCTATATCAGTCTTACAAGTATTCCAGTATTTCTAGTGTTATTGATTTTATATTATAAATACTAACACTAAATTTTAAATTTTCTAGGATCTAGAAATTAGTAAAGGCTAGTTAAACAGTATGCATAGTGATAATAACAAAGTAAGAATTAATTTTTCATACATAATGTCAATGATTAATTGTAAAATGGTATCTAAATTATTTTGCATTTTAAAGGTTAATGAACCTGTAAATGGACCTGTAAATGAACCTGTAAATGAACCTGTAAATGAATCAATTGCAAGCTCTTCAAAAAGCCAACAATCTAATAGAAATGTTAATAATTTATTATCGACCATACTTTTTTTTACATATGTCAGAGAGATTTTCATTTATTATTTTGTATTAAATTTTTAGAATGCATTATTAATTACTTCAATTATTAATAATCAGGTAAATTTTCAATTAACATTAGAAACTTATAGCAATTTTTTAACTTATATGTTTAAATTGTTATTACTATTAGAAGAGTAGTATTGAAAATGAAAAAACTTCTTTAATTAATAAGAAGGTAAGAAAAGGTATAAATTTTTTTAAAATAATAATAATGCTAACACACATATACAGCCTAATCAGAATCAGAATAATACTGATGATGATCCAGAGATAAGAAATTTTAATTCAGTTATTATAAACATTTTCTTATGTTTAATAAGGAATATAAAATCTATTAAAGTATGAAAGTGTAAATTATAATGAAATCAGTGAGTTGCAATTAGTTAATGTAGCCTCTAGCACACCAGCAGAAATTACTGATGTAATTGAAAAGAATCAAGGTAATAAAGCCCAAACTTTTGCCTCAAGTATTAAGGTAAATTAATAATACTAATATCAATCTGAAAAGGTGACCTACAATTTGATAAGCATTCAGATTCAGATGTACACCCTTGTATTGGACTGAGTGGTGTATCTGTTGTTCTTGTTAATGACCCTATTCCAGTAAGAATTTTAATTAATGCATAATAATATATTTTTCTTTCCTCATTATTATTACATGTGTATTATTTTATTATTTTTCTTAATTGCCTTAGTTTTCATAAGATTTTTAAATAGCATTACTCTGGCTTTTTTTAAATTTCATATATAAAATTTTATAAAAACATTTTTTAAATCCATCTAGATATTATAAATATAAAAAAATTTGAACCTTGTTATGAAAATTACAATTAATTAATTTTGAGTAGCTCTAATTATGTGATTTTCTTAAACAAAAAATTTTTGTCGATTACAGCAAGGAACCAAATAATAAGAATTAAAATAAGATTTTGTATAATTATCATTATTTATTTCTAACAAATTGAAACTATCTAGCTTCAAATGATTCTATTAACACTTTGGTAAGTAGTATTATTTAAAATTTTGATTTTAAAATTGAAAATGCTAATTTTATTAAATTAGCTAAAACCTTTTTTGTTTATTTTTTTAATATATAATTAACTTTACAAAGAATCACAAAAATACAAAGATTCATAACCCAATTTGGATTCTGATAAAGAAATTGAGGAACAAAGAGATTTAGTCTGAAAGCACAAATATAAAATCAACTGAAATTCAAAGAAGGTTAAAAAAGATGATTCCAAAGGTAAACAAGTAAATAAGGTAAATAAATCTTATTATGAAAATAATTTGTAATATTCTAATATATTTTTTTATTGAAGGATTTAATTAAATCATATTTTTATAATATTTGTCAGAGCTCATTAAAAACTCAGATAAGGAGTCTTGAGTTCTGTGATATTTGTTAAATTTGATTTTTTCTAATTCATTTATCTATAAAAAGATGATACCAACAATGAAAGTTTAGTAAGTTAAAGCTTATCTATATTATTATATGTATTAAAAATTTATTTATAATTTTATGAACCTCATTTATTTATACTAAATTTTTAGGATCTAGGAAGTATTTCTGTGAATTACACAACTTCAAAATTTAATGATATGTTTTAAAATTTAAATTTTACTTAAATTTAAATAATTCAGAATTTATTTTTAAGAATTACAAGTTTAATTGTTTATAATTATTTTTAGACCTACAAATAGACTCAATTGCCTATAGCAAATGTTTTAAATCACCATAATATTATGCAGAAAGAAAGAAAGAACTAAGAAAAGAAGAAGTAATGTCCAACAATTTCGTATCAAATACAGATGATCTAGTGGAAATGTGTTCACAACCAACTGTAAAATATTTTAATAAGAACTTAACACTAGTATTGTTGGAGCCATTGCCAAATCAGATGAAGGATGTTGGCAGTTATTTAAAGTATCTTCAATTATGGGAACAACACTTTAAACATTATCAAAAAGAGATTATCAACTAACAGTATAAAATGCTAAAACTAATATATTCTTTGTCTGATTTCTTTTTTGTATTGTTGATACTTTGTCAACAAGAACAACAAAAAGAAAGAAGCTTAATTGCATTGGAGAGGACTACAGATAATTAGAAGAGTAATGATTTAAAGACTCAGATTAACAAAAAATTTAGCAATATTAATTTACACTCTATTTTGAGAAAGTGGACTGCATGTTGAAAACTGTACTATTTCCTATGGGTAACAAATGTTACATTGAATGAGATGATCAAATTTAAGCTAAATGCAAAATATTTTCTTAGAGCAAGTGAATGTGAATATAATTGCCTAATTAAAGAACTGTTTAGAAATCTAGAATTCACTGAATTCTATAATATTAAAGAGGAAAAAAATATTAGAATTAGTAAATATTGCAAAGAATGCTTATACAATTTAATAATAATTTTTTGTAGCAATTGATTAATTTTGTTTTTATTTTTTGCTTTTGCTCTATTCCTTTTTTAAAAGTAGAACATACCAATAATAAATGAATTATTATTTAAACCATGCGGTAATTACCAATTAGCAAATTTTAATATAAAAAATAATATCATATTATGTATTTAATTTTACAAAATTTTAATTGTATATTATTAAATATGCTAATGATTGACTTACAAATAAAAAATCAAATACCTTAATAAAATTTGTATTATTTATATTTAACCTTATTTTTTTTTTATATAATTCAATTCACACCTTTTATCTGTTTACTTAAATGCTACTCGCACATGAATAAACACTTGAAGAGGGACCACACATCGAAAAAATCTTTGAAACAAATAATAATTATTCTGTTAATGATAAACTTTAGCACATATTTTAATTTTGAACTCAGTTTATTCTACTATAGCATCAAGGTGCTGTCAGAGAATGAACTGAGTTTCAATGAAACATGATAAAATTAAACATAATAATTTTTACCTTTGTGACATTTTTGGCATAAACTTAATGTTAACATTGGGGTGGGTGATTAACTAATTAAAGCAAACCTATATGTAGACCCATAATTAAACAATTAGGACAATTTTTTAATATGAATGTATTGTTAATCTTAAAGGTGAATTCAATAAATTAAAGTTTGTAACAATGTTAATAGAATGCCAAATTTTGAGATTTGATATCAAAGATAAATTTGAGTTTAAATTTATGATATGTGTTGTAATCAAATCATATAAAATTTTACTTAATGGAAAAAATTTTAAAGAGTCAAATCACAATGAATATTTAATGTTAATAAACATCTTAGTTCAATCAAGTTTATTATATAATTAATATTTTTTTTTATTAATAAAAAAATGAGTTTATCATTTCAATTTACAAACATTTCATAACAGACCACCTTTTTTTCATTCCGGGCTTAGCAAAATTTATATAATTATCATGCAACAACTGAATGTTGACAAAGTAAATGTAGTGATGACAAAATATTAATGAATTGCTCAAGTAATGATTGCAATTACTATTTTGATTTATTATAGTTTATTCTAGTTAACTAATAGGGAAATGTACCTAAAAATAAAAACATGTTACATAATTAATGACTACGTATTAGCCTTACAAAAAGATTTAAGTCAAAAACACTGATTCCAACCTTAAATTTAAATTTAAAATTTAAAAATATGTAATTTGTGTGATATAAAACTATTAAAATTAATGCCAATTTGTAATGCATTTTTCATTGATCTAGACAGCAATACTTAAAATATCTTCTTATAACTATACCAATAGGATTTTGGTAGTTCAAATAGTCTTTATAATATTTTGTTCAATAATTATAGATACTTCTCTTAATGAAATTTCCAATTTTAAAGTAGCATATTGTACATGGTACATATGATTTTTACAAAAAAAAATGTAAGTCTTGCTTAAATTTAGAATAAAGAAGATTTAAGGTTTGTGCATAGTGATAGTTTGTGCTAAAATTTTATGAGAAATTTTATTTTTTTTTGCTAGAACCAAAGGATGTTTTTATAATCAATATAACAATTTATTATGGGCTTTAAAAATTTTTAGTTTAAAGTTTTAAAAAATTTGCTTGAATTCTGTTATAGAGGACAAACAATTTTGGAGCAATTTTTAAAGAGTTGAAATTCTCTTATTCCATTGAAAGTCTGCTTTTCCCCTCAGATTCATCTAATTGTAAGTTATTATTTTAAGAGAGAAATAAAAAAGCATTCCCTTGAAGAATGGTAATATTAATGAGTTATGTTCTCAAATAAGGCAAGTGAAAAAGTAAAGAGATTATAATCATGTAACCTGATGTGTAAATTATCAATAAAAGGGATTAACTTAGTGTTAGAGCATTAACACATCAAATGCAATATCAAAAACTAACAAAATGAATAAAACTACAAATAGAAGTGAAAACTCATATTGACAGAAGTAAAACTGACACCTCATAAAACCTGTCAAATGGACATCATTGTGGCATACTTACCTAATTGGAGTTGCCCATGACAATTCATCTGAAACATGTATACCCGGCTTCAAAAGATGCTATATAAAAGTACACAAGCTTCATGCGAGATCCAATTACCCCTCTAATTAAAGTAAGGTCAACCTAGACCAACCTATTGTGCTGAAAATGGACATTGACTCCACCTGCCTTACTTGGATTAGGTGTGAGGCAATGTCAAGGGGGTGTGATTGAAGACAATACAATGGGTTCTGGCCCCAGGACTATGTAACTGAAACATTTCTTATTGAAGCTATGAGAAATGTTAAAGTAATGAAAGGCCATGTGAAAGCAGTTAAAGGTTATAACAAATAAGGTTGAGAAGTGTTAGTAATAATGAGAAGAGTCGTGGTCTTGCATGGGCTCTTCTCTTATTCAATTTATTATAAAAAGGGTAAAATTTCCCTTTTCAAAAGAGTATCGGTATTGAAGTACAAGATTATCATTCAGAATAGTTCATAATCACTCTTAATAATATACTTGTACTGCCCCTACAAAATACTAATAAAAGTTAATAAAGCTCCTTTTAACTTGTAAAATAAACACACGTTCTTTTAAATTCATAATACTTATCTTGTAACGCTCCTCTACGTTCGTCTTGACCTTGTGCCAAATCGTAAAACTACCTCTATTATCTTTGAGGAACATTACATGGCATAATCCCTTTTCTAGTGACAATCTGTCACATTCGCCCCATCTCTGAATTCATCCATTAAACCTGTCACAATATTTAACTCCAATTATGCAAAAATGATCGTTAACCAGCCTGTCATCATTAGATTCTCTCATCTCATGATCTTTATCTAATTTAAGCACTCTTTCTAAGATAATGCTAGGATCGAATTCAAATAAAATGGATCATGTTTTATATTTCACAAAACCTTATAATAAGTGGAAGCTGATAAAATTTCTAAAAAAAAAAAATACAAGCAAGCCCAACAAGATACTAATTGAAAAGATGAATATGAAACTTACGAAAAACATATAAACCTTATTTTTGATGAGAAAACACAAAAAAATCTTTATATTACTTACTTGGTAATTTTCAGACTATTAAAGCTTTTGACTCACATTTATAAAAGTTAAAAAAACCTTCCTGATAATTTTATTATTTATAAAATTAGATACCTTTTTTGATTATTTTTATTGCTTATCTTGTCAGTCCTTAAAAGTTGATGAGACTAGTACTTTGTCTTTTTTATTTGATTGTTTGCTTGTTAGTTCCTGAAAAGTCATCAAGCATAGCATTTAACTTTATTTTTATCGCTTATCTTGTTAGTTCCTAAAAAGATGATGAGCCTATCTTTTTTTAAATATAATTGCTTGCTTGTCAGTTCTTGAAAAGTGTCAAGTGTAGCATTTCCTTTATTTATTTTTTTTACTTATCTATACAAGCAATGCTTATTAAGTATTACACTTAATAGAAAGACAAAGGCTCAAACAAATTCAAAAAGTTTTGGTCAGGCTGGTGCCAGCAATATGTGAAATCTGATAAAAATAAAATTCCACCTGAAGCGCAGAATTTTTTAGACATGCATGGTTTATATTTTATCTTGCTTTTTAAAAACGAACTCAAATTTATTATGAATTTAGATAATGTGTTAGAACAAAAATCATCAAACTGGAAATTATTAGAAAATTAAAAGCAGGTAATTCTGTTTTCTATTTTTTTTTTTTACATGATATATTAGATTTTATTACTATAATTCAATTACAGAAATCCAACAATAAGTTACCATTTGGCTGAACTATAAAAGATTCTTTGCAAAACACAATTATTCAAATTCAAGAAAAAGATTCTTATTATAATCATGAAATTTTTTCAAATATTATTAATACAAATGATAATGACATTAAACCGATCTTTTCTATAGAAGATATTAATTTTCTGAATGCATCACAAAAGATCCCTTCATTTACATTAACATCTTCACAAGTTAATTATATTCATCTTTCAATAGACAATGAGATCACACAACCAATAGAACATATTATACTTAATGCTCTAACAAAGACTACAATGGAAACCATCACTAATATCAGCAATTCAAATATTACTATGAGCAATAATAGCAGCACTGATAACAAAGATACAAACATTTTCAAAAAAATAACAGGATTAACACCATATATTGAATGTGTTATTAGAGAATAGTAAGTTATTTATAAAGTGATTTTTATATACTTACATTATAACAATTTATTTAAATCGTTCCCAAATCCTTAATTATGAGATAATTACACCTTTTGATACATCTATTAATGAAAATATATGGACAATAAAGGTTTTTCCATTTTACTTGAACCACTACTAGATTTAGTTCATAATATAAAAATTTTCTGGTATGTTACTGAAAATAAACAATTGCTAATAATTATAATAATATAGGGCTTAATTTTCAAAAAATTATTTTAGGGCTAAGTATTACTCTGATGCATCCAAAGTACATATGAATATCATCAAAAAAAAAAATGTAAGTAATAATCAAATTTAATTATTTAATTTATAAAATGTGATTATTGATAAATTTAATTAAATGCAGGAAGAAAAGCAAGGCTATAAAGTTGATTTTGATGTGATATGGCAAGATTATTTGAAAAAAGAAAAATGAGAAGTAATTGTAGGGGAATTTTCTAGGAAGCCCTTTAAGCCTCTTCTTGACAAGTGTTTCAAAGATAAATGCAAGCTTTTCTGATGCATAAAAGATATTCTTAATCTTCGTATTTCAAAAATTTCTAAACTTTGCAATATGAAGATTAATAAAGAAATATATAACATTATTCAAACTATGCAAGTATTTGGCATACATTCCTATGGTAAGAAAATTATTCCCAAAATTTTAAAGTTCAAATTCATAAATTCATAATTTCTTATATTAATTAGGAACCACTTTGAATATATATGTTTTTAAATAAGCCTTTTTCCCAGATATATGTTGTAAGCTTGTGGTGTTCTCTAGCAGTTCCATATAAGAAAAGTAAAAACTTCCAAGACCAAATTCATAACTTGATCGAAAAGCTTTGAGCATATCTAAGGGTAAATTATAAAACAACACACCTATTGATTTTATAATAATTTGATTTTTAACTTATTTTTTATTAGAATGGAGTTGTGGATGAAATTCTTAAAATTATTAAAATTTATGAATTATCTACTACTGTATGTGACTCATTATATACTAAAATTCTTTAAAACTCACATGCAATAACAATAGTATCTCCTATAAAGTATCAAAAATTGAATTAAAAATTAACTGCAAAGTTGGTAATATTGACTAAGAATCACATTTACTAATTGAATAATTAGAACCAAAAATTTATTATGAATCTGATATTTTAATAAATAAAATTTTTGGACAGCATAATTATAGATGATAAAAATTTCAGAATAGGGAAATTAATTTATTGAGATATAATAATATCGTTAAAAATTGAAAACTTTCTTAATTCTATCAAAGAAGAAACTATATAAATGTCTGGATCTTTATATAAAAAAGAATAATTTATATCAAAATATGACTTCATTTTTAAGTTCTGAACCTATACAACCTAAAATAATTTTTTTTAGTACTTATATTATTAAAAAAATAAAAAAAACAATTATTTTAGCTCAACTTTTCTAGCTAATATCAAACCAAAATAAGAATCTTTGATAACCAGACACTCATTGTGTTCAAAAAATGCTTTTCTAAAGGGTGTTTATATTTATTACCTTTACTCTTATTATCTGATTTATACATAATACTATATGGCTTCAAAATTAAACATCCACCGAAATTAAGCACTATAGCATTATGCATAGTATTCAAAAATAAGTACCCTACATTTTATATTAGTTTTGCACTCTGCTTTCACACTGCCATATTTTATTTATTTTTTAAAAATTTAAAATATTAATTATTAATTTCAACTAGTTAAATAATACAATTTACAACTATAATAAATAAAGCTACTAAATAAAGCTAATAATCACTAATGCCCATAAGTTTAATATCTTTACTAAGATTTACAATATTATTATCTTTGCTATTTATGATTTACAATATTATTATCTTCACTATTTATGATTTCAATATCTTCGCTAATATCAATGATTTTAATATCTTCACTAATATCAATGAATTCAATACCTTCATCTTTGCTAACATTCATGATTTCAATATCTTTGTTAATATCAATGATTTAAATATCTTCATCTTCACTAACATTTATGATTTCAATATCTTTGCTAATATTAATGATTTCAATACTTTTATCTTCGCTAACATTTATAATTTCAATATCTTTGCTAATATCAATAACTTCAATATCTTCATCTGCATATTCATCTTCACTAACATTTATGATTTCAATATCTTTCTTGTATATTCATTATTAGAATCCCTCAATGTGTCACTATTGATATCAGTATTTTTATCTAACTTGTTTGAAATATTACACTTTATAAAAGATTTAATAATTAATTCTTCTAAAATTTGTTCCCATGCACATACTACCCATGCATATACATCACCTATCCTAGCATGTCGAAGGTTTTCAACCTTAGTTACTCCAGCATTACCTTTTGACATCCAGAGATACTATTCTTTGCGAAGATTGTCTTTAAATGGTTTATTAACTGCGACATCAAGTGGTTGGCAAATGCTAGTCAAACCACCTAGAATTACTACTAAATCAATACCACTATTCTGAAATCCATCCTTAATGGAATCTTGCAAATGCCCACTAAAAATGTCATATACCATCATTGTCAGGATCTCATATTCATCATTAATTTTTATGTTATTGAGATAATCAATATATTATATCATCAAGCTAATATCTATCCAACTATTGTGCTAAAACCAAGCAATAATTCAAGGTAAAATATTTTCATCATGTGGTAATTGTTTTCCTTTAAAGATACAAATAGGAAAAAATTTTGTTCCATCTATATTTAGAACAATTACAGTATAATAATTAGTAAAACATATATTCATAATATGAATTAAAAAAAATTCTTACCTGCAGCGCATGTTAAAACAACTGTAAACCAATTTTTTTCATGACCAGTTCCACAGATATGAATTGTTGTTTTGCTTTATGATCAATTGTAAAGTTTCCAGTCTTATCAAACCAGACGGGGGTTTCATCCATATTTAGAATATTAGGTAATTCAAGGAGCTTTCTTTGTTTAAGATGAGTAATAAAGTTATAAAAATTCTCCAATGATCACTCAAGTTGTAAAGGAAGTTTTTGTGAAACTTTAATGCATTGCTGTTGAGATAGATCATATCTTTTCATAAATGCAAACATCCAACAATGTGATGCTTTAAAATTTTTCGATGAGTTGCCATAAAGATCTCGCTTATCTGGTTCTTTTAAAATTTTAAACATTTTAATACATACAAAGTCGAAGGTAACACACAATCCTTGTTTTCTCTGTTCTATAATCCAATCATATAGTTTTTTTTCAGCTTCAGGGTAAAATTCATTTCGACCAGAACCAATTTGCTTGATGCTTTGGTTCATTTCAGTTACCCATAACCTATTTGCTTTAATCCAACAGCCCACCATACTATGGTCAAGATTAAAAGCATCTGCAGCTTTATTCCTTCCATTTTCTTTTGCATAAGCAACAACTTGTTTCTTTTGTTCAATAGAATATGAATTATGTTTACGTTTGACAGTTTTTCTATTGACCTTTTTATTTTTGATACCGATTTTATTTTTGTTTTGCGGTGACATAGCGTAATGGACAAGATAAATTAAAAATTTCCTATTTTGATCTTGTCGTTTATGTTCATTTACATAAATTACATCACATCATAAAGTTTATCATATTTGGACTTGAAAAAAACAAAGTACCCGAAATTAAGCACCTGCTATAATGAAAAAGGGGTGCTTAATTTCGGAGCCGTACAGTACTCTTCAAATCATTCCATCCGAATTAATTTAGTCGGTGAGTATAAAGGACATTTATTAATCATTAGAATTAAATCAGTCAAACAAGTTCATATTCGTGAACTTATTTAATACTCTCATATCATTTTATATTAATTTAGCCCGTGAGTATAAAGAACTTTTATTAATCAATGGAAATAAAAACTGACAAGTTCACAAATCAAAATCGTAATACTAATTCCCATTATATAATACCCTTCAAATCATTTCATTTGCATTAATCATTTAATTCAGCTCGTAAGTATTAATCATTGGCATTAAAACCAAAAAAAAAAGTTCATAAGTCAAGAACATAAATACTTATCCCCATTACTTTCAAATAATTTCATTCGGATTAATTTAGTCTGTGAGTATAAAGAACATTTATTACTCATTGGAATTAAAACAGAAAATAAGTTCACAAATCAAGAATGGAATGTAAATCATTCTATTCGCATTAATTTAGCCTGTGAGTATAAAGAACATTCACAGATCATGCACAAAAATACTCATTTCTCGCAAATCATTTCATTTACATTAATAATTTCATTTCATTTAGCTCGTAAGTATAAAGGACATGTGAATGATTCAGCCCTTGATCCGAGACATATCGATACGTATGTGTTATGTAATTAAATAAGTGCTACAAAGACTTCAGGCTTTAAAAAATATTTGAAAGCCCAAATTCTGGTTTTCTTTTGTGATATGCCTCGGATCAGGGCTGAACCTGGCAAATAATAAATAACAAGCTTTAATTCACGAAGTCTAGTTTTTTTCTTGGCGGCATTCGTTGAATTAAACACATTTACAAATCACAAACATTTCCCATCACAAAATACCCTTAAAATTATTCGTTCACATTAATCATTTCATTCAGCTCGTAAGTATAATGACACTCATTAAACATTGACATAAAAAAGCAAATGTTTCCATAAATACTTGTTTCTCAGCGCAATATTCTTCATTCCATTCAGCTCGTAAGTATAAAGAACATTTATTAAAACAGTAAAACAAGTTCACAAATCAAGAACATAAATACTTATTTCCTATTATGTAATACCCCTCAAATCATTTCATTCATATTAATTTAGTCAGTAAGTATAAAGAACATTTATTAGGCATTGGAATTAAAAGCAGTAAAACAAGTTCACAAATCATGAATATAAATACTTATTTACAATTACCTCATCCATTCAAATCATTTCATTCACATTAATTTAGCCTGTGAGTATAAAGATCATTTATTAATTATCGGATTTAAAAACAGTAAAACAAGTTATAAATCAAGAACATCAAATCATTCATTCACGCTAATTTTAGTCAGTGAGTATAAAAAAATTTATTAATCATTAGAATTAAAAGCAGAAAACAAGTTCACAAATCATAAACATAAAATACATATTTTTTATCACGTATTACTCTCCATTCCATTCATATTTTTTTTTTTCGATTTTAACCTAGGATAACCTAGGACGCCGGTGGCATACTTTATTAATATTTCTTGAATTCTAGTAATTATTTACAGTGGTTATTTACATTAACTTTAAAATTCTATTTACAAGAGATCCTTCATGATTTTTTTCTTATTTTTATAACTGTCGACTCCTTTACCACCATGATTCAATGCTTTTATTGCTTTTTTGAGTCTGTATTTGGTTACTGATTCTAGAGCAGGAGCGGGAATGGGGTTTCCCCATTTCATTTGTGTGTACCAGAACCAGATTTCATAAATGACATTAATGTTAATCCAGTTTCTCAAGTGAGTGTTGCCTGTATAGCGATCTGAAAACATATCATTCAGGTTTTCAGGCATTTTTAAATTCCATTCATATTTAGTCGGTGAGTATAGCGAATTAAAAACAGCTGAAGTTCAAATCATGAAAATAAATGCTTATTTCCCATTTCAAATAATTTGATTTGCGTTAACCATTTCAATCAGTGAGTAAGTATCAAGAACATTCATTAGTTTGAAGAATTACAATTAGCAAAACATACGTTCACAAATCAAGAATATAAATACTTATTCCATTACTTAATACCCTTCAAATCATTTCATTTGCATTATTTCATTCAGTGAGTGAGTATAAAAACATTTGTTAATCAATAGAATTGAAAACAGAATATTTATTTCCTATTACTTAATACATTCCAAATCATTAATTATTCATTCAGCTCGTGAGTATAATGAGTATTTATTAATTACCGGAATTAAAAACAAAATAATTTCACAAATCAAACATAACCACCTATTTCCTATTTCGTAATATCCTTCATTCGCATTAATAACTTTATCCAGCTCGTGAGTATAAAGATTATTAATCATTAGAATTGAAAAAAAATAAGCACAAATCATGAACATGATACTTATCTCACACTTCAATCGTATTTAGTCGGTGAGTATAAATAATATTTATTAATTAAATCATAACGATAAATACTTAATTTCCTATTACGTAATTCTTTCTAATCATTCGCATTAATTATTTCATTTAGCAAGTGAGTATAAAGGATATTTATTAATTATTGGAATTAAAAAAAGCAAAGCAACTTCATAAATTAAGAACACAAATGCTTGTTTACTATTACGTAACATCCTTTAAATCATTTCATTCGCATTAAATTAGTCGGTGAGTATAAAAAACATTTATTAATCATTGGAATTAAAAATAGAAAAACAAGCACACAAATTATGTACATACTTATTTACTCTTAAACATACCCTTCGTTCACATTAATTTAGTGGGTGAATATAAATAACATTTATTAATCAATGGAATTAAAACCAAATTTACAAATCATATCATAAATACTCATTTCTCATTATGTAATTCCCTTAAATCGTTTCATTCACATAATCTTAGTCTGTGAGTATAAAAACATCTATTAATTATTTGAATTAAAAAGTTCCCAGGTCATGAACATAAACAGAGATGTCAACATAATAATATTGGACATTTGGACAATGTTCAAATTGTTCAAATAATTTAATTAGTCATTATGAAATTCTTATTGGACATTATAATGGATTCGTATCATTTCATCGACCGACAGCTTAGTTCACCGACAATTAATTTACAGACAAGCTTATTTTATTGACGATTAACTTACTGATAAGCTCATTTCAGACAACTCTAATTCTAAACCTATCCTAATGATAATGACAAGATTACTTTATCAGTGAAATGAACTGCCTGTAAATTAATCGTCAGTAAAATAAGCTTGTCTGTCGGTGAATTAAGTTGTCGAAGTGATTGTCGAGCAGATATACTGTATTTATGCAACTTACTACGGATTATCCAAATAAAATTATTAAAATTATTTTTTGGACATTGTCCAATGACAACTCTGAACATAAATACTTATTTACCATTACGTAATACCATTTAAATCACTTTATTTCATCCGCATTAATTTAGTCGGTGAGTACAGTACAATGAACATTCATTAATCATCGAAATTAAAAACAGCAACACGAGTTTATAAATCAAGGACATAAAATACTTATTCACCTTTATATAATACCTCAAATCACTAATTTAGTCCGTGAGTATAAAAACATTTAAATTAAAAACAGCAAACAAGTTCACAAATCATGAACAGTAATACCCTTCAAATCATTTCATTCGTATCAATTTAGACCGTGAGTATGAAAATGTTTATCAATAATTGAAATTAGACAGCAGGACCAGTTCACTAAATACTTATTTTCCATTGTAATACCCTTCAAATTGTTTCATCACATTAATTAGTCCGTGAGTATAAAAAACACTTAATAATTTTTAGAATTATAAACAACCACACAAGTTCACAAATCAAGAAGATAAATACTTATATCCCGTTATGTAATACCCTTCAAATCATTTATACACCTTAATTTAGTCGGTGAGTATACATCCGATATAAAGTTTAAAATTGCATGGCAAATATGAAATAATATAGCATCATTATTCTTCACGATTATAAAGATTATCCAAATATGGATAATGTGCGCATTGTGATGAAGACAATACGAATGAAGCATGGTGTTTGTTATGTGATCCTGACATAACAACACAGTGGAAATATACAAATAAGGACCTTTACGATTGCATAAAATCATTTCAACTTAGAGCCTTTAAATATGATGATGTCATTGAGTGGATTCCATTTGATAGATTATCTGAAGTTAAAGAAATTGGTAAAGGAGGGTTTGGATCCATATGTAAAGCAATCTGGTTAGATGGCATACGAAAAATTGAAACAATTGAGAGCAATAGTGGCAATATCTGCAAAAGATCACGTGACCCACATAGCATCGGGTTCAGAAACAAATCAAAATTCACTTAAATTTTTAAACGAGGTATGTCAAATTGTATTTTGGGGATCAAGGAACCCAGTGATCACTGCACGTGAAATATGCAATGACGTCATTTGTTTACTTGCACTAATACGTATATTGGCCTAAATTATACCATCACTTCAAGGCTAAATGGTTAACTTGATGATCACAAATGTATCACTGGGTTCAATCTTCCCGTATTTTATTACTTATGTGGTTTCATCTTGAGCTAACCTTTTACATAATCTCCAAGTTTAAAACCCACGTGCAATGCAGATTATATGGTAGCAAACTTAAGATATATGGTTTGACATATGACTCTAAAACTAATGAATATTTCATGGTATTTCAGTATGCTAATGACGGAAATATTTATAAGTTCTTACGATCAAATTTTAATGAATTTACATGGGAATTTAAGTTAAATCAGCTAAAAAGTATATCACATGATCTAGGCCGAATTCATGATGCAGAGTATATTCATGCCGACTTTCACAGTGGTAACATTCTTCACGACAAAGGTACTTCTTATATTTCTGATTTAGGATTATCTAAAAAGAAAGGTGAAAATAGTACAGGCGAAATTTATGGAGTCATGCCATATGTTGCTCCGGAAGTTTTATTAGGTGAAAAGCAGTTTACACAAGCAGCAGATATCTATGGATTTGGTGTTGTCATGGCAGAAATAGCAACTGGCCAAAAACCTTTTGATGGTCATGAATTCAATACAAAATTGGCGATCAAGATTTGCCAAGGATTGCGACCAGAATTTACTCCTGGAACTCCAGACTGTTATGTTGAATTGGCAAATCAGTGCATGGATTCAGATCCGCAAAAAAGGCCTAGTGCTTGGGATATTTATTGGAAAATTAACGATTGGCTAGAAGTGTTGGCTTCAAATTATGAAAATGATATCAAAAAACAGTTCTTATATTCTGATGAAATCATTAAAACATTACCAGTAATCTCTCAAAATCATTCTAATATTATGTATACCAGCAAAATTATCGCCACACAAAAAATATCAAATGAAATTAAAGGTATTTACAATAATAATTCTATTTTTACCCGAGTATTTCTCTCTAACAATTCTAATGTTCATATAAAATTAAGTTATTTTATATTAATAATTTTAATTTTATCTAGAAGATTAGAATAGCTATAGTGAGATATTCTTGTGCGAAAATTATTTAAAAATAAATATTATGCTAAATAATTAAATCTGGTTTATAATTTTTTAATAAGAATTATCTTCAACATATAATTCAATTGAGTCTGTTTATATTTCTACTGGTAAGTCTATAATGTTAGATTCATTTGGAAATATATAAATTTATTACTTATTTTATTTTATATTTAGATTATTAAGCTAAATTAAAAATATAAATTTATTAAAGAATTTAGTAATTATGATTTATTGCATTTTATAAGATTTGGTATAATGTAAAATCAAGACAATAGATTATAATCTGTTAGATTAGAGTTAGTGTATAATAATAATAAAAGAAATTAAACCAAAAGTTAAAGTAGAAATTTTTTTAAAAACAAGAAATAGCTTTATAAACAATATTTCACATTACAATAGATTTTGAAAAAAATTGTAAATGCTTTGATTTTACATTACACTTAATATTGCATTCTAATTAGTTAAATTAAAAGCAGCAATATATTGCTATAGCAATAAATTACATAACATTTTATTAAATACGGTGAATATATTTTTAAAAACATTTTTAAAATTAACAATATTTATAAACTATTGGCATTTAATAACATATATAATGTAATATAAGGATCAAAATAAAATAAAGTAAAAATAAATTTAATAAATATTAAGTTAAAGTTTTTTTTTTAATTTTAAGGTGAGTACATGCGACCCAGGATTCTATTGATAGTATATATTAGCCAGCATCTGTTGATGTAACAGACACAAAGCCAATTATAGAAAGAGTGTACAACTAGTCACTTATACAACTTTAGTTATTGTCTAATTTAAGTAGTCTATCCAAATGTTCTATACTAGTTGCTATGCCTAGAACCCACCTGTTCTATTTAAACACTCTGATCCCATATCTACCACATTCTACCAATGACTTTGGTAGACTAGTGAAAATATATCATAGTCACTAAATTATGCTTAACTTTGTACTAAATCTACTGAAACATTCTGTATCTTATACTTACTACTTGCCTAGTATCATTTTGGCCTAAACTATCACTTGCAGTTAGGGCTAACCATTAAACCACTATATTCTTGTAAGGTTTATCCAAAATCCTGATATCTATCTTTTTGATATCTTCTCTATTATCCTCTACTAACTACTACTCAGGATCAACAGAACTTCTTAGACTTCCAATTTAGATAGACTATATGATATACTTTAGTATTCTTTTTTTTAGTGATTCTAGCAGTCTGGTTAGTCATATGCTCTTCTACATATCTTGATATTTGGTTTATCTACCTGTCTATTTGAGGATGTTTTATAGGCTTTTAT